TTTGGGGTTTTGGGTTTAGGAGTTTAGGGTCTTAAGGTGTGGGGTCCCCCAAATTTTGGGGTTTTAAGGTTTTGGGATTAGAGTTTGGGCTTTGGGGTTATAGGGCTTGGGTGGGTTTAGGGCTTTGGGGGGTTAGGGTTTAGGGCGTAGTTTCCATCATGAATGGGGACTCCAAGAAGGAACCCAATATAGCATGATCCGTATGATGTGGACCCCTAGAAGGTTCGTATACTCTTTGGAAACCCACGACTTGGTGTCCAAAGCACATTAGCATCATCACATAGAATGTGTACTTGAAGACTTCATGTACGGGCACCATGTCGTGAGCCGACAGCACCTGGCTAAGTGACGGGAAGTCAGAGAGCAGGAATGGGATATAGGGTTTAGGGTTTAGGGTTTGGGGTTTGGGGTTTAGGGTTTAGGGGGTATAGTCTAGACTCCTTAAAGGGGTTATATCGGGGATTTTATTTGCCTGGATTCTAAGGGTTAGTAAGAGGGATACTAGGAGTTTAGACTACAGATATAAAATGACCTACAGGCAATATTACCGGTAGAATTACCGGACATGCGTTCCTTATTTGGAATAGCTTAGGGACTACGCAGACGGACCCTTATGCCAACCCTTAATGGTCCGTTGCATTGGTAAGGCAAATAATGGCAGTAGCTCGTATAGGGCTTATTCTAGGGGGGCATTGTTTAAGGGCAAGAAAACAAGGCTCAGATTCGGCTTTCTTGGCCTCTAAGTGTTCGGGATTCATACTGTACCTCCCAAATTCCCAAAATCCTGGGCGCCCTACAATTTCTTCCAAGACAACCGTGCGAAGTTTGAGACCACCCTAAACCCTCACCATGTGCCTGAAGTGTAAGGCAGGCCAGTATGCAGCCTACCAGTAGGACATGCCCTTCAGGACCGGAGCAGGCACGAAAGTGCTGCGCGTGAATGCGCTGCATGTAGCGCAGGCATAGCTCCGCTCGGCGGCGTCTGAAAATCAAGACACAATGCTGTTTCTGCAGGGCGTACTGCTCTCCAAGCACGCCAATAAAGATGTTCAGAATGAAAACCGAGAAGAAGGTCACAGCCATGTATAAAAGTGCAACCTCAAGCATATCACCAGCTGGTTCATCGGGCATTCCGGCAGTCATCAGCGTAACAAAGCTAGAGTAGATAGACCTTTCAACAGAGTGAGCTCCCAGGAAGAAGAACGCATGGCTAAAGGCTGCAAAAGCCTGGGTTGCTGCTAAAGAACTTAATTTAAGTTACTATATTATCCACCATAATGGAGAATCAAATGGACAAGAAAATGGAGAATGAAATGGAAACTGGGAGAATATTGGGATTTAAGGAACAAGTTACTATATTGGGGAAACCTGAGTATTTACTATATATACCCATTCTAGTGACTTAATTTAAGTTCCTTAACAGCAACCCAGAAGCGATACCAGTGATCACCAGAGCTGGAATCAAGCCCCGTAGAAGATTTCGGAACGGCTCCAGCTCGTGGCCCAGAACTTCACCTAAGTGGCCCAGGAATATTCCCTCCACGTGCCAGTATCTATATCTATCTATATATATATATACACCTTATAGACTTTGGGCCTAGGTAGCTTCCTCTCCTTTTTAGGGGCGCGCCTGGGTCTTCACTGTATGTTACCTCTTGGGTAGTTGGCTTCCAGGGATAGTGCAAGCCGGAGCGATGGCTGCGCAATGAAGCGAGGACGCCAACAAAGAGAAGAAAGGTTGACTTGGAAGTTACTATATTGGGGAAACCCTACTATTTACTATATATATACCCATTATGGTAAACCCTAAACCCTAAACCCAGTATGGTGAAGCCCAGGCACATAGGCTCGCGATGCCCAGCACGCGGGCCCAGTACACAAAAATGGTGAAGACGGTCACAGGTCGACAGGTAGCATCAATACATAAGTACGAGGGTAAAACAGCAGAGAGAAGGTCAATCAGATTGTCTAGAGTCAAATAATCCCGCCAGCGCCCAAGATTGATCAAACCAGTCAGCTGCATGGCTTCCAGGATGAGGTCCACAACCCCCTGCGCGGCCACGAAGCGAACAGCAACCAACACTACTGGTGGCCTGGCTTCAGGCGACCCGTCCGCCGAGCTTTGCTGCAAGGCCAATGTAGAGATGGTCAGTAGAATCACAATCCAGACAGTGACGAAGGAGCGGACAATTTCCACCTGAGCTCTCGTTCAACTTTAGTCTGCAACCCCATAGGATAGAACCCTGCATACGTACCATAGAGGGCTGGCTACTGACTGTCAACCTGACAAACCTTCGCCTCAAGCTCCTTCTGAGAAAGCTCGCAAAACCTGCGCTTGACGTAGAAGTGCCTCATACTGCTAGAACTTGGAATTCGTGTTTGGGATCCTCGGGGATATCCAGAGATTACAATCAATGGTAGCCTGTCAAAATGATGGACTCGACTTTTTGGGTTCGAATTAGAATACGACCCCCCAATAAATGTGGGGTACCCAAAAACACACCATAATTTGAACCACCTGCCAAAACGGGATGCTGAGAGAATCCCAATATCCAAAACCCTATCTATAGTCTAAACTCCGAGTATCCCCCTTAATGCGCTCTCTCATCCTCCCCTATATGACCTTCTATATAATCCCCTAATTAACCCCCTTTGAGGAGTCTGGACTTTTGTGCATGTACTCCTCGTAAATAATCCCCAGGCATCCTAAGGGTCCCCAGGGTACCCCTACTTCCAGACACCTTTAAGATCCAAACCCCCGAACCCAGAACCCTGCTAAGAGTACTATCCCTAAGGGTCCGTTTTGGGGTCCTAATACTATTTGGCCCTAAAGCCCTATTTGGGTCCTTGGACCCTTAGGGTATGCTTCAGGGATCCAAGTCTACATGCCATACCTAGTTTACCTAGTTTGGGGTCTGCAGTCTGTAAATGCTACCTGCCTTGGGCCCTTTGGAGCCCCTACGGATTGACAATAAACCCGAAACCCTAAATCGCCCTGCCTTAGCAACGAAGTTCTCAAACACGTGTTCCACCATGGCCCCAAAGAGTCGATGTTCAAGTATCTCAACATCCTTAGGCTTAGGGTTTAGGGTTATGACTTCGTGAATAAGCTTATCAATCCTAAGAACCATATAAAAAACGTGAGGTATCCCCATCACTAACCCAGTTAGTAAGCCCACTTAACCTTTCAAGTAGTGCCTTTGAAAAATCATGGAGGCATGGAATTGCAGGGTTTACGGCTTAGGATTTGCCTTGGGGTTTCTTCTTTGGTGCAGGGTCTGCTAAAGGGGCCAGAGATAGACTACCAATATAAGTTATGCTTCTGGGACCCTTGTAAAATTATGGAAAAGGGTAACTTTGCAGACTTGGCAATTGTATTGGTCAGTATGTAGGACCCTGCAGTGTATCCCTAAACCCTAAACTCCCTAAACCCTAAAGTATAGTTTTAAGAATTTCAGAAGCACGTTGCTTAGCGATGGTAGGGTTTGTAGAGCTTAGGGTTTATCGTCTCGGGGCTCCTTGGAGACACGGGAAATGTAGGGTTGTTTTAAGGGTTTCGAGTTTAGGATTGATAGGTTTTTTCATTGATAGGGTTTAGGGTTGAGGATGTTGGATTTACGGTTCAGGGGGATAAAACATAATAGATCTGTTTCAGAGCTCCCTTACACCACGGGCTAGATAGAAGGTCGCTGGCTATATCACATAAGTGGGCTCTAGAGTCTACAGATACTACTACTTTGGGCCCTCGAGTGTGGAATTGATACTTACTTGGGCCATTCGGATCCCTAGAACAACTTAGGATATACTATATCATCTGACTTATAACACACATGCATCTCCCATAGATGGCAGCTTCTCAAAATGGGGCTGCCCCCGAGCCCAAACATTTTCCTTCTTGGATGGATCCCGCCCGCTAGGCCCCATCGATCCGTGCTTTAACAACCCAGACCCGAAACCCAAATCCTGGTACGCAGATCTCCATCGATCCCCACCCCAACATCCAAGACCTCCCATCGATCCCCACCCCAAGATGCCAAACCTGAAAACCAACATCTTAGACCAAATCCGCATCCCTCCCCATGCAGACACCCCAAACCCAAAACCTTAGCCCAGATCCCTTTCTAGTGACCAGGGTCGACATCATCGGCTGCAAGGCATGCAAAGACATCGGGGGTTGTGAGATCAGGTATGCTGCACATGCCGATGTCTGACTGCAAGATTGGAGGGCCAAAAGACCTGGGCTAAGGTCCACTCATTCCCTTCCCCATTGACGGGATTCTCCTAGTGCCTCAGAAGTGGACCCACAAGTTTGAAGAGCCCCTGCCTGTTGGTCAAGTCCTCGTGCCACTTGGGGAAATCAAATTTTATGGAGTTAAACTTCCAGCGTGAGTCTTGTGTCAGGAATGTAAGAAGTTTACGGTGTGGTGATCCTTGGTTCACCATGCTCCACATAAGATCCCACCAGCTCCGGGCAGCAAAACTGACCTGTGCTGGCACAGGATGCCAACCTTCGTTCTCACATTGCGGGCGCCCTGTTGCAAAATCCAGAAGCGCGAGGCATGAGCTCACGGACTGCTTTGCAAGTAAAGCCACATCACTACCATTGATGCCCGCTCGATACAAGATGTCCGCGTCACGCCCCCGGGCTTTGCATCTCTTTAGGAAAAGGCCCACTGCATCTGGACGCTCCGCCATAATGGAGCGCAAGGAACTTCGGTTGATGGCCGCACTCATGGCTATCTGCCACACTGTCATCTTGCCACCAGTAATTCCAACTTCTAGTGGAAGCTGAACTTTCCACTGCCTCCCTGTAGAAGCATCTACGCAGTCCTCCTGAAACTCTTCTGCTTCTGTTCCACACAGCTCCATGTGATGCCTGACTATATGAATTGCATCAACGTTGCCCGTCACAAAGGCAATGTGGATTGGTAGCCTCCCATCCGCATTCCTGCCAGCGTCAACTCTCTTCATCAGGAGGTATGTTATCATTTCAACAGATCCTCCTCTGCCCTCAGCAAAAAGCGCTGCATGAAGAGCATTGTAATGAGGTGTATGGTCTCTGGTGACCTTTGCATTCAGCGAAGCTCCCGCAGCCAGCAATTTCTCAGCCACGTCAACGTGTCCCCTGGAAGCTGCCAAGTGCAGGGCCTCACCAGAGCCTTCCTGCGCTTTGTTTCTGAAATATGTCTCGTACCGGAAGCGCATGCTACATGAGTCTGGCTCTTTGGCCAAAATACGTTCAAGTTCTTCACCGTATCCATGCAGCGCTGCTGTGTGTATTCGATGGCCTTTGCATGGCCTGACCAACAGCTTGCATGGAATTTATGCAGCTGTTTTGAAGGTTAATCATAAGCCTGGCCAAGTACAAAAGCTTGTCATAGGTCTGTGCAAAATTACAAAGCCTTCTTTGAGTCCCGTAGGAGGAGTTGCATATCTTCAGCTTAGGCAATACTGTAATATGAAGAATAACAATGTAGCAATAATAGAGTAATAACATATAACCTACAACGACTACAAATAATACGTAAATGTTATACCAGTACAGAAATGATATAAGAGTATTGTGAAAATATAAGATATCATGAACTCAACTTTGCAACCGTCCTCAGTGCCCCTAATCCCGGAACTGACCCCTAAACGAAACCCCTACATTGTCTTCCTGGTTGCCGGTAGGGAAGTAGGGAATATATTCTATATAGGGTCATATACAAACTATATATTCCCATATTCCCTAACCACCAGCAAGTTGTCGTGAATCCGCTGCACCGGCAGTCAGCACATTCTCACGCACAGCCGGCCTCCCGTTCCAGGTAAACTCCACCTCCTGAGGTTTCCGGATTTAGGGTTTGGAGTTTCGAGCTTAGGGTACCCTAAGCCGGCCGCACGCACTGCCAGGAAGCTCTACAAGTAGTCCAACACCATACACAGTCGAAACCGTAAAGCGCTCGAAAGCCAAACTAGCGATATCTGACCAGGATCTCTGGGGTAAGAAGATGCAAGGGCTTCGCGTTTAGGCTTTGTGGGGTAGGGTCCAGGGCCGAAAGCCTTCAACAAATTTCCCACAACGGAAACTTGAACAAAATATCTCGGGCTACTCAATACAATCTGAGATTCTCCGTCGTCGATATCGAAGATTGGATCCTTGGTTGGTCCATTTTCTGGGTAAAGAACTTCCTTTTAGCTTCTCTCTTTCATGGAAGAAGTCACGCCCAAAACAAAGGTCTCACATTCTTGGCTTGGACAGCCCTTATCTCAATCGTGCGGTGTAGCATACAGCAGGTTCTTCAACAACGCACACACAACCAGACAACAATCGCACTGTGGAAGTCCTAAACCCCAAACATAATCTTTGCCAAACAAGGAACTGGACTGCGATCTTCAGGAACGGGATCTTCAACAAGAGCTTCGCTAGGACCTTCGCCTGAAATGCTGAGTGCTCAAGCTTAACTGGGTTGCTGTTGAGGACCTTAAATTAAGTCACTATATTGGGGAAACCATACTAATTACCAGAAATGTATGTGCATATATATATATATACCCATTGTGATTCAGGATTCAGGTTCCTTAACAGCAACCCAGTTAGTTCTGGCCAGTTAAAGCTCTACCCAGTGGCTCCTATGTATTTTTTTTCCGGGTTTGTCATGGGTTGTTTTGGTAAGGGAATAGACTATACTACCCAAAAGGAACTACATAGGAGAACTCAGGTGGAACGCGTGTAAAAAGACGGAAAGCAGTTCTTCACATCCAAGTCGCGACTTAACAGTGGCGTGACGACTTCTTGCCCATCCTCTTTTTCATTGTCCATGGCGGCAAACTTTGGCAGCCAACAGTTCTGGACTGTGAGGATGTGTTTTTTGCATGCAATGGGCTTTTGACATTCTTGGCACTGAGACGCTCGATGCTCAAGCCATTTCTTGTAAGCGCTTAGATTGAGGATTCTTGTTTTCTGATGCTATGCGTTGCACCGAATGAATAGGCCTTTGTAGATTTGCAGCTTCGCGCAGTGCTTAAGGTGCTCAGCAGGTGGCATTAGGTTTGTGAGCGTTGAAACCTCCCTGGGGGCCATCTTGATAGGGGGTTCAGGAAAACCATTGACTGTCCAGCAGATGCAGGTGGTTGGGGTTTAGGGTTTAAGGTGTAAGGGTTCAGGGTTTTAGGTAGTATAGGGCTGAGGGTTGATGATTGCCTTGTCTGTTTGGCTGTGGATCTTGACTAGCTGTTCTACATTACTGTTCAATGGGCGCAGCGGAGCTATACTCAGCTAAGGGCTACTCAACTATGTGCTACGACGGGAGCACTATTAGAAAAAAAACACAACACACAAGCAATATGCAATTAGATATGCAGTCCTTTCTCAGGGCTAGTTACATTGATCAAACTATTCAGTACTAAGCGCTTTCTTTCTTTAGGTAAGGCTCAAGAAAGCCTGATCAAGTTTCTGACACTCTTTTAGGTCTTCGGGTTACAGGAACATGGAGATTTCCCCCCCCAAAAATGGTGTATCCCTTCAGGGGTCCCATAATTAGGATTATAGTGTCCTGGGGCCTATATGGGATCTCCATGTTCATTAAAAGCACCACATCCAGTAGATTCAGTAGATGTTTGGGACCAAGCTTTAGGCAGGAGAATTGCTGTGGACGATCCTCAATCCGCAGCCTAGCTGCCCACATCCGACAACTGAAAAGACCATGGCATCTAGGTCACGCGCACCTAGCACGCCTGGCAGAATGAGGGCCTTAGAGCCTTCACGAAGCTGAGGTTTGAGTAGAATTTTAAGCAAACAATGCGTGAGTTGAACACCTTGGAAACTACTTCGTTGCGTTACCATAGGATCCCTTGCGGCGCGAAATCACCAAGTGATCCAAGAATCGCGGCTTGCAAGCTTTCAACACCGCGCAAAGCTGCGGCCGTAGAGAGTCTATAAACGACACAGGGGTTAGTTGGTCATCGCTTGCACTGGAAACACAAACGTGGATGCACTGGCCACAGTATGCACATAGAGCGCAAACGACGCAATGGTCTGGGCCTGGATGCACTGGCCACCGTATGAACTTGAAACACGAACAACATTGAAAAGACAGCATGCGGGCGCTAGACAGCTGCAAGCAGGCAAGCAAGCAAGCAAGCAAGATAGTCTCGTGCTACGACTTGTGCAGCCTTGCAGCCTCCCATTCTGGCAATACAGGAGGCAAGAAACCAAGTGACCTGCAGCAAATACTTCGATCACTGCAGTCCGTATCAACAATTTTGTTTAGAGGCCTAAGTATCTCTTGAAGTCTAGAATCCAATGTACTTGCGTGACCGCTTGGGCTCAAGGTCCGCAGAAAACCATTTTCTTGAGCATCCTATCTGCGCCTTCGAATATCTTGACAGAAGCTGGCACCTTTTTGTAGTGACAAAGCAATCAAGTCTTTCAAGCCATTCCACGTGAGCCCAGGAAGAACCCGCAAACGCGGACGAGGGGCAGCAAATCAGACAATTTCCTTCCGGATCAGGGTTGAGGGTTTAAGGGTTCAAAGCTGTTGGGTAGTGCTGCGCTTAAGCGAATAGAATCCACGCTCATTCTCGTTTTGCCAAGTCTGCAGTTCTTGTTAAGGATGGGAATAAGGTACTACCTCTTCGGTTCTAGGGCGTGTAACTTTGAGTTTGATGTTGACGTACATTTCTCTCAATCTAAACGAAATCTTTTCGGGTAAATGCCGTGGGCGCCTGGGCCCGAGGCCCGAAACACGCAGGGTTGAGCAAGGCTAATGGCACGGACACTCTTTCTATACCCCTAGGGATCCAAATAGCCCAATGTAGGCAATATTTGCGGACTTTAGGGCCCAATGTAGGTATTATTTGTATACTTGGATCCCTAGGGTACACTTATGAAACCAACGCCAAGAGTTTCACGGCCCACGCATGCAAGATAGAAGATTGAACTAATGGTAAGCTCATCCCTTTCAGCATGACCCTTTGAAGGTTCTAGAAGATGGTACCCAACAATATTTGTGAAGCTCTGCGACCCTTACACGTCTGCAGTCAGCTTCCTTAAGATGTTGTATGCTCCCAAACGCCACGCAGCTTACAGCTTACGAGCTTCGGGGGCTGTAAGGTTTCCCCTAAGGGTCCAAGGACCCAAATAATAAGGTTTTAGGGCCCAGATACCATT